GCAGCATGATACTGTGGTCCACAGTATCAAAAGCCGCTGAGAGGTCCAAAAGAACAAGGACAGAGGAATAACCCCTGTCCCGGGCCCTCCAGAGATCATTTACCAACGTGACCAATGCCGTTTCCGTGCTGTATCCCGGCCTGAAGCCCGACTGGAGAGGGTCTAGATAGACCGTTTCCTCCAGGTGCCGGGGAAACTGTTCCCTAATAAAGTTGTTTCACTCAGCTAGTTTTGCTGGTAACCAAGCTCTCTCCTCTTCTGGCTGGACTGAACCGCTTCCCTCTCTTCTCTTCTCCCAACAGCTTCTGGCTTCCGTTTTGGCAGCCATGATTCTCAGGAGACATCTGATGGTGTGGAAGGTCTTTGCCCCAAAGTAAGTCCCCCGCTAAGTCGGTGCCACGTGGTGAAAAGCTCTTTCTCTAACTCCTCCCAATCCAAAAACCCACACAGGAAGAGTCAGGGTAGGGCTCCTGAGCCTGGGCTGGAGGTGGGGTGGGTGGCTGGAAGAGTTGCAGTTGAGCTGATCAATATTGTGCTTTGCCAGATTTCTCCTTTTACTGCACACCCTTGTTAGCTTCAGGCAGCTAAAAGCAGAAAAAATGGGGAATTGACGAAGAACAGGGAGGCTGTAATGTCAGCCCCAGGATGCCTGACTTAGATTGCCTGGTTTCCTGAGACACAGGATGTAGGAGAGTACCAAGCTGAGCCTGAGAGAGGGAGGGGTCAAGCATGTCATCAGTTTGGCATCCCTTCGCTAAGTCCAGCCCTCCTTGAACTCAGTTGACTCTTACCAGTAGTTCTTGTTTAGACGCAGCATGGATTAAATGTGTACTCATTTGAACACCCTTGGTTCTTGATTTCTTGCACCTGAACTTCAGGGGATACCCTGGGGGCTTTGGCGTTTGCTTGATGAGATGAGGCCCCATTTGTCCTGAGCACAGACACACACACCCCAACCGCAGAGGAGTCCATGTCCTTCCCCTGGTTCTGTCCTCTTCAGTGACCGACTGCTGAGCTTCCTGCAGAGAGAGCTGGTGGGGAGATCTGCCCAAGGCCCACCGAGCATTGGTTGCCTACTTGCCGTGACCTCACCCTGTGCTTTTCTTCACCCTGGCAGGTTCCTCTTCGAAGCGGTGGGCTTTATGGTGAGCTGCGTCTTTCTCCTCCTGGGTCTTGGCCTGGTGATGCGCGTGGATTGTGCTGTCAGCAAGTGGTTCAAGCAGGTCATCCTTGCGCAGCCCAGATAGTGCAGCAGTGCAAAGGAGTCGGTCGAGTCAGTGCTTGCAATGAGGAGACCCCATCTGCCCTCCAGAGATGCTCTCTGCTTCCTCTCTCTGCCAAGGACGGAGACTTTGGGAGCAGCAGAAAGGAGGGGCCCTTGATTGCACCACATGAATGGCGGGCAGTTGCAATGGAACGGCCCTTGGCAAGACTTGACAAGACTTGCCAAGGAATGGGAAGAAGCACCAGATGAAACCAAAGAGAACTTTCGGTCGCTGCGCGCCGGGTGCCTGGGGTGCACAGACATCTTGTGGGGAACAACAGGGTGGCAGTTCTTTCTTTCTTTATAATTCTGGAGGATTCAGCAACTACCTCGGGAGGAGAGTGTGCAGCAGGCTGGCTTGGCAGCCGTTTGGCAGCCCTGGGCGTCCCAGGCCCGGATGGTACTGAACAGTGTCCTGGGGAGGGAAGCTCCAGCAGGGCCAAGCGGTGGGCAAGGCGCGTTGCTGGTGCTTCGCCCGGCTCAGGGGCTCTGAGACACAAGGCCAGGCTTGAAGGCTGAATGGCCAGGTATTTGGAGATCATGGCTGCTATCAAGTTGGGATGCTAGATTCTGGGTTCCAGGTTTTGGATTTGGCTTTTTGAAATAAAAGTACGGCTTTTCAGATTGGAGTAGTAGCTTCAGTGGCTGCTCATATGGTCTTGGAGAGCTAAGAAGGAGCCACTTGGCTGATCTGGGGTTCAGTGAAGAAACATAAGAGGCTGCATGTGTGCCAAGTCAGTTGTCTCTCCACCCCACGAGTGTCACTCCCTGCTGCCCTGGCCTGGATGTTTCTGTGCAGCAGATGTGCTCTGGCTTCTCACTTGCTCTTCCACACACTGTTTGATGCAGTCGAGTATCCCTGACCGATTTCAGCTTCTTGCCTAGATCCACTGAGCTGGGGCAACGCTGCGCAGGAAGGGACGATCGCAACGATCAGCTGGAGAACAGCCGAAGGCAACCAGCTAATTTGCAAACTAGGACAGCACTGATCCCAGTGCTGCCTAGCTGGCAAGAAAGAATAGAAGAATCCACAAATTTAGTTAAAGAATATACAACCTGTCCTCCTAAATGCTTTTCTGGGAGCCAAATTACACGTCTCTTCTGGGCTGAGACCAAAAAGAAACTGGGGCATGGTCCAGGCCAGCAGGGACGTGGCAACTTTGATTGATTGGTCTAATTGGGCTAGAGGACTTCTAAAACCCATCTGTGGATTCTCCATTCTTCATGCTGAGAAAAGGTGTTCAGGTAAGACAACACCCCTTCTGTTTTGGACTAGCGCAGGGAGAAAAGCTTTTAGCTACGCCTGATTTCAGTCTGCAGCACCTCCAGAGACTCAGAATCTCTCCCACCTGGCTGTGAGAGTATCTCGTAACACACACACACACACACACACACACATGTCCTCTGAGAACCTGCCCCTTTCTCACCTTTGAGCTGGCAGGTTTTGTAACGCCTGTCCCTCCTTCCTTTCTTCTGGATCTGTTTTGTGGCAAGAAGAGCCTTTTGGATTCACTATTTCTACCTGTAGTCAAAATGGAAAGGAGAGGTGGCTCTATGGAAGATGTAGGATACTGATTAACTAATAATAATAATAATTATGATAAAGTTGGAAGGGACCTTGAAGGTCATCTAGTCCAACCCCCTGCTCAGGCAGGAAACCCTATATCATTTCGGACAAATGGCTGTCCAGTTTCTTCTTAAAAACTTCCAGTGTTGGCGCGTTCACCGCTTCTAATTATATTATTTTTATTACATTATAAATTGAATGTAAATCTTCGTGGGAAGAGAGAGCTGTGGGAGCCCTGAACGGCAGCGGTGTCTGAAATCCCTTTGGGGTTGCTGCTGCCGTGTCTTGCCGCATTTTGCCAATCCAGGGCAGCTCAGCAGAGCGTTTTACCCAAGATCTTTTTTTGATGGCTGTCACAAAAAGGATGCTAGAAGTCACGAGAGGGGATTTAGAATTTTGATGTTGAACTGACGAGCACAAGGAAGTAAATGGATTGTAAATTCCAGAAACTGTCTCCGCATGATATTGTGCGCTTGAAATGATTTCCTTCTTAGCTTATATATATTCCTAGTCTAAATATTCTAGTCTAAATAATTTTGGGGGGCGGTGATTACAGGATGTATGAGCCACAGACAAGAGCATAATGGTTCAGAAAGCAGACGTTATTTTTACAGTTAACACATTTCTCTAGAGTGGCTCATTAGATGGCTAAACACCAGCCCTGCAGTGGTCGCCATGCCTCTTGTCATTAGGGCCTCCTAATCCCTGGGTGCTTTAAAGCAGGGGTCCTCAACTTTGGCAACTTGTGGACTTCAATTCCCAGAATTCCTCAGCCAGCAAGCTGAGTGAGGAATTCTGGGAGTTGAAGTCCACAAGTCTTAAAGTTGCCAAGGTTGAGGAGCCCTGCTTTAAACCACAGAGGCTGCTTGGGCAGAGCCTGGAACCTCGCTGGGCAGCCTGACTCTGCAAAAGTGCATTTTCAGCCCCCAAAATAAGGCGTTTTTGCAACCGACCAGCATTTTGCTGCTACCTTCAACACTTGGAAGAATTAAACCTGCTGATCCTTAAGAGTGGAAAAGAATGGAGTTTTTCAAAGGAGGTGTCTGGTGAATTCTTGAAAGATAAACTTAGGACAGGAGCCTCCACG